TGGCACATTTGTATCCGTGGGGGAGTATCTCTTATGGAAGCTCCCTTCTACTTCCGTTGAACCAACCGCGCGTGCAAAACATGTGGCTTCAAGGGGCGCAATCAGCCCTATTGGAGTTGGGGGGGGTCCTTCTTGAGGGAAGAAGGTTTGCGCAACACACCTCATCCATTCAAAGGAGCCAACCCACATGCGGTTTCCCGCCGCAAGCCCATTTTTAATCCTTTTCCCAAGACTGCAGTAGTGGGTAGTTTCGGGGTTCCCGGTCCAACCTTCACGGCGTCCCCTTAAAGACACCCCAATATGTGAGCATTCAACAAAGCTCCTGAATCCCTCACCCATCCCAGTCAGGCAGGAAGTTCGCCCAGCCGAATCCGTCCCACAAGAGAACCCATCCGCAACCTGCCTTCCTTGTTTGTTTCTCGTTTGGGTAGGGGCCAAATTCACCAGTTCCGCAAAAGCCGGCCTCTCGCCCATCCCAGCCACCCCATCCATCTCTCCCCCAGCCTCTCCCCAATCCCACCCCCTACCGGCCCTACCCCCTCCATCTCTCCCCGTGCTCGGGTCCCGTGCACCCCGTGCGCCCAAGTCCTGCCAGTCCAGGTGGTTGGTGGGCTCGTCCAGCAGCAGGACGTTGGGCTTCGCCTGCAGCGCCTTGGCCAGCGCCACCCGCATGCGCCAGCCGCCGCTCAGCAGCCGGGTGGGCCGCTGCAGGTCCGCCGCCGAGAAGCCCAGGCCCTTCAGCACCGCCTCCGCCTGCGGAAAGACGCCCCAAGACGCACGCGCAAAGGACATGACACGAATGCCTACTTTTTGTTGACGGCAAGCAAGACAAAGCAAAGTGAAGCCTCTGGGCCTCTGGGTGACTGAAACATCGCCTTGGGGCCAATTGTGGTTGGTTCTGCTCTTAGCGGGCTGATGCTTCTAAGCGGGCAAATGGGAAAGTCAAGCGGTTGTGGCTGTGGCTCCCATAATGGCCAGCCAACGTCCCAATGACAAGGTTTGACAACCACCCCTATGGTGGAGCAGCCATCTGAGTCTTGAAAAGCAAAACCTCGCAAGTAGGACCTCAAACATTTCGCCTTCCCTTCGAAGATCCCGCCTGGCCCTTCATTGCATCTGCTCCCAGCGCGTGCAGCCGGTTTCGGACGTCCGCCAAGAGGGCCGCCACCTGGGCCTGCACCTCCGGGGTGGCCTCCTCCAAAGGAAGGTTTCAGCGCCCAGTGGATGTGCATGGGGTTCAGACCCGAAGCCCATGGAGCTCTCCCCCATGGTCAGAAAAGGTATAGAGATCCCCGCTAGGCTCGTCAAATTGGCCACTGGGACTTTTGGGAGCTGCTCAAGTCAGGATGCTTGCCGAGACTGATCTATCGTTGGAGCAGGTGCTTAGCCCCTCCTCGCTCACATCAGCCTGCAGGGCTTCGGCGGCTCGCTTCTCCGCATGCTCCGCCTCCAAGAGCGCCTCCCTTGCGGCCTTGCCCCGCAGGCCGCTGAGCTTGCTCTCGTACATGGCGGCCTTGAAAAGAGCCCGCTTGGCCTTGGTCGGCATTTAGACCTGTAGGATTCCCATCTCATCATGACTTTCAAGGGCGAAAATGATTGAAAAACGCACGAATTTGCGACGTTGCCGTCTCTTAATCACAGTGGCCATGAGGTGCACATGAGCGCGCATTGCCTTGACAGCGTCCACCACAGAGCCCTCGCCCAACTCCAAAGAAGCTTCCTCCTCAAGCAGATCGCTCAACTCCTTGTGGGCTGACACCACAGTGTCGACAGCCCGACGGTCGTCTCCCACGTCCTCCTGGTCCACCAAGAGCGTGACGCAGTTGGGCGGATATCCGGGAATCCGACCCGCCGCCATGGAGCGGAACAGGGTCGACTTGCCCGAGCCGTTGCGGCCTACGAATCCATAACGCTGACCTGGAGAAAGCTTGAGGTGAGCATCCTTCAGCAAATCGCGGCCAGCCACGGAGATGCACAAATCATGGATGTCCACTTCTGCCACTGCCGAGGTGATCTCATCTTCCACCGCTTCGCGGTGAAACCGTGAGACCCGAGCCCGCACTTCCACCGGGGCATCAGATGGTTTCCCAACGTCGTCCTTCTTCTGTGCGTCCTTCTCCTTTGCCTTCTTTGGTCGCGTCTTCGGCTTGGCCTTTGCACTGCCTCAAGCTTTTCATGAGGCAGGAGTCAGGCTAACCGCCTATGACCCATACTTGCTTGGGGACCCAGCCTTCCGGCACTGTTTGCTGTTCCTCCTCCCTGTCCTCCTCGGGGAGCGCGGCCTGAGACAAGGATGCCCAGTGCGATTGGTGTGCAGAACCACACAGGGCGCACCGCCTGCATCTGCAGGGGCTGAACAGGGTAACCAAGGCCTCCCGCGTGGCAAGGGCATACGATAATAACTCTCAGCCATGCGCCGAAAACATCTGAGGCCGGTGGCTGGGCAGGGGCGTTGCCGTCTTCTCGGCCTTCTTCGCCTGGCGATTGCTGCCGGCGTTAACCGCACAGCTCAAGGCCCAAGCGGTCCTCGCCGGTCAAGCCGAGAGCTTCGCAAAGGCGCTGCAGCCCAGGCTCCTGGTCGCGTGAGCGCACGTGGCGGGCCCAAAGACATGCGTGCAACGCGCTCAGATGGAGCCTCTTCCAGCCATCCCTCGCAGCACTCCCGCACCTCATCCTGCGGTGCAGCATGCGCACGAAAGGACCTTCTGAGCAAGTGTGGCATGTGTTCAAACAGCGCGCTGAACACTACTTATGCAATGTGGTCCTGGGAGCTGGATTCCAGAAGCGCGGTGCACAGGTAGTCAATGACGGTCTCCTGCGACGGTGCCGCTCGGACCCAGCAACGAACAAGATCACCTAAGCGCTGGATATTTCTCCGCCGCACTTGTGTGGCCCATTCAGTTGTGTGGCGCTTCGTACTTGAAGCACATCACGAGGCGAATGCCGGCAAATAAACTACCTCTCCTGCTGCCTAAGGCAATCTCCATGCTTATCAGCAGGCAGCTAAGAAGACCCATGTGAGATACATACGCATGCATGCCTGCCTGGGGTTCAAGACCTGCACAAGGGCCCTGGTACTCCGAAGCACCTCTCCTCTGCGTGAGGCACCAGCTGCTGCAGCAGGACAGTGACTTCCCGCTCCGAGGCCGGCATGGGCGCTGATTGGCCCGGACACCGTGCGCCCGTTTGTATTTACAGTCTCTGGCCAAAGGCAGAGGCCCTTGGGGATGGGTAGGCTATGGCTGGCTACGGTCGTCAAGTGGCTCCTTTTCACTGGCTGGACCTGAAAATCGCCCTGCGCTGTCGTGCACTGGAAGTTCCTGGAGAACAAAGAGCAACAACTTTTCTCACTCTGCGGCTGGCAAATCAGCGTTTTGCGCCGGCTCGCCTGGGCCAAAGCCAGAAGCCTCAGATATCCTCAGCAACATCTTTTGAGCTACACCCTGCCTTTGTCCAAACCAGAAGGGTCTGGATAACCAGCGCTGTGCTGATTCTCCGCCTGTGCAAGGTCTCTGGTAACCAAAACCCCGGTGCGAGCCCCTTGCAAGGGCAGCTCTCCGCCCAACCCTACTCCGACACACCTTTTTCGGATGCGAATACCAGCACGTGTCACCGAACTTGCAGCAACCCCGCCAGTAGAAGGAACACATGGGCCTCGCATTTCCCGAGTCACCGTTGCTGGTCGGGGCATATTCATCCTGATAGGTCTCTGTAGGCCACTCATCATGGAAGTCAGGCCACCGACACACTTTGGAGTGATGGCACCAACACTGCGCGCAATAGCCCTTCCTTGGCCAGCACAACCACAGGAGACAGCGTGGCAGCCATCCATATTCAAATGGGCGTTTCGTTGTTCCTGAAATGGCAAAGCCTTTTGGCACTCCAGGAAGCAAAGCCGCCTTGAAGAGGGGGGTTGCTTGCCTTTTGTTGTCCCATGCGTGAAAGTCATTGTCAGACCTGCAAGATGCAGGAGTCGACCAAAATCTAAGCAAACAATCAAAAGGGCTTCTTGCAACACAAAAAATATCAAACCGCTTGCAACACACACACACACACACACACCGCCAAGGCGCATGGTCCCTGGGTCCAGCGCGCGACTGTCGCGCGTGCAGCTAAAGGCCGCGGTCCTGATGCTGCACTGCTCCTCAGTCGTGGCTGGAATGCCGCAGCTCAACCCGCGAAAATGAAACGTCGGCCGCGGCACGGCGTCGGGCACGGACCCCGGCCACACGCGGCCCTCGATGTCCACCAGCTCTTCCTTGAAGGTCCTGGGCTGCACATGTGCATTGTCGCAAGCGCGCACGCAGGACTCTCGCGCCCTATGGTGCCGCACAAGCGGCGAGCCCGGTGCAATCTGTTGCGGCAGGAAGCGGTCAAGGTGTTGCTTGATGAGCTCCACATGGCAACGCACCTCGTCGCTTAAGCAAGGGTCTGTTGCCAAGTCAGGCACTGGGCAAATCCAACTGAGGCACATGAGGCCGACAGTGGCACAAAAGTCGGATGCGCTGGCCCTTGGCAACTTCGCCCACCAGCAATTCCAAAGCACGTCGAACATCTTCACGCTTGAGGGCCTGCAGTTCCCACGCATCTGAGAGGAGCAATGAGCGGGCCTTGGCGATTCCTTGGCTGGCTGTGGAAGGCTTCCTAACGAGGCATCGTTAGATGTTGTGTGTATTCAGAGTTTACCCATTTAAATACAGAGCAAAGCCAGTAGATGCTGGGATTTTGTCTGGAGTTCAAGTTGACACGCAAACATTGGTGGCGGCATCTCGTTGGCGCCATCGAAAAGTGGCCCAAGCGTTTTTAAGCAGCACTGCAGCCGTGTGGCGCTGCACCTCTTCGAGAAGTTCCCCCGAGCTCTCGCGCAAAACCACCTTGGGCAACTACCTACCCTCCCCATATTAGGTATGGGTCAAAATAACAAGGGTGCGGATTTATTTTGGGATTTGTTTTTTCGTTTTTTTTTGCTTGTTTTTGTTTTCCCCTCGTCCGGGCCAGTAAAATGTTGTATTTTACATCATTTTCTCGCGAAATTGACGCATTTTACACTAGCCCGTCAACATCCCCAGCATCGTTTTCAACATCCCCCGCATGTCCGACCAACATCCCTAGCATCACCACCAAATCGTGACGGTCAAAGAAATGATGATTCAAGCAGGAGGGATCCCTGTAAAAAAAACAAAGTAGCGGGGGGGTTGGACCTACCAAAGGGCATGCCCCAGTTCAGATAAAATCCCCTCAGTCAACCACTTCAACCATATTAACCAACAGGGGCACGCCACCTCAACCAATTTTACCACCTAAATCCCAAATTCCCAAAATCCCAAATATATTTTTCTAAAATTCCAAAATATATTTTTCCAAAATCCCAAATTCCCAAAATATATTTTCACAAAATCCCAAAATATAAAATCCCCATAATTTCAAAACATAAATCTTACAATGTTTTTATTGTAAGGTTTATGGGTTAAATTTAATCATAAATGAACATTTGTTCCTCCTTCCCAAGTTTCTGGGAGACCCTTCCCACATTTTACAAAATTGGGGAGACCCTTCCCACATTTTACAAAATTGGGCAGACCCTTCCCAAGTTTTTGGGAGACCCTTCCGGGAGACCCTTCCCAACTTTTTGGGAGACCCTTCCCCAGTTTTTGGGAGACCCTTCCCCAGTTTTGGGAGACCATTGTCAAACCCCAACTCAAATTCCTTAATCCACCAAACTCGTCAAAATCTCACAAATCAATTCAGCAGGTATTTTGTATAAATCTTCCTGCTTATGTATTACATAATTATCTCCCCATTCTGCTTTAGTTTTTGATGGCAGTCGTTGCGCAGTTTCAATATGTTTATTATTCCTTATTTTTCCACAATCTCTATTACATAAATCTCTAGGTGTCCAATTCGTAATGTTATTCCAAAGTCTAGTGCGTTTTCTGTAATTAAATCCATATTTGCAATAATCAACATCTTTAAAATCAAACTCATTCATAAACTCCTGATTTTTTAATAATCCAGTTTGAGGATTTTCGATTACAAAATATTTAGGATTAAAATATTTGATAATCTCAATAGTTTTTAAAACTATACTATTAGCATATTCAATATTCCTAATTCCCCTAGTTTTTGCTACACTATATTCGGTGCACGGGGGACTGCTCCAAATAAAATCAAAATGGTTTCTGTCAAACTGCTTATAATCCCATTCCAAAATATCACAATTAATATCAGCATTTTTCAAGTCTAATGAGATGACATTATAACCGAGTGACTTTGCTATGGTTCCTACACTTCCAGTTCCACTAAATAATTCTAATAAATTCATATTGTTTATTAGAATGATTTAGATAATGTTTTAGAAATATACATATTTATCATCTTCCTTAATAATCTTATAGTATTCTAATGTTTGTTCTTTTGGACTTTTGATTTGTCCCTTATTTAACATATCACAATATTTTTTACGCTTCGTGTCATAATCACCGCTGGGTCTGCCTATCCCTTTCTTTTCAAAGATTTTATCAATCTTTTCCTTCTTTTCATTGTTAGTTTTTGGTTCGTTTGCCTTTGCATCAAGTTTCTGGTCAATAGTTTTTATCATCTCGTACAACAGTTTAACATTTTTACTAACTGTCATTATTTTCTTTGATCGTTCAGCAATAGCATCATTCTCAACTTCAGACATTTCTATATATATTTATTTATATAATTATTTATTTAAATATTTATTTATGCGTTTTATTATACAGTTTACCTGAATAATCTAATGTTATATATGTAAATAAATTATATTCTAACAGTCTTTCACCAATTTTATTGTTCATTTTTATTAAACCTTCCTCGTCACCTGTAATTTCAAAAAAACATCAATATTTTGTCAAATTTATCCGGTTTAGTTATACCTTTCATAAAATATTTATCCTTGAATTTAGCATCAAACCAATAAAAATATTCTTCGCTCAATTGTTTAGCAAAGTTTTCATCACCATTGAATAGGTCTTTAATTTCTTCATCGTCAAAAGTTATAACTCTATGGTCTTCTCTATTCATAGTTGGCATTATGATTATACAAATAATTAGATATTTATTTATTTAATTATTTATTTACAAAATTGATTTAATGTAAAATCTACTCTTTAAATACTAATTTATCCACATTTTGTATTATAGTTGTGTTCCCAAGTTTCTTCACGTGAGTTTCCGTTGGTTTCTTTGGTTTTCATTGTATGAATTATTTTTATCAATCTTCCACATTTACACGGCAGGCACTTAATGTCAGCACCGTCTTTATCAACTGTGATTTCATTAGCGCGATTGTCTTGTCCTGTTTGTTCTACATACTGATAGTCGCTATAATCATAATTTTCCATTGCTGTTAGTCTGTCTTCAATCGTTTTTATATTTTCGTCCATTGTTTTACTAATTTCTTTCTGTGTTTCTTGGTGATTTTCTATTAATTCACTCATCTGTTCTTGTTTTCCTTTTTGTTCTTTTAGTGTCTTTTCAATTTTATCTTGTCCTTTTTTCTGGTCCTGCATTAATTTAACTATACTATTTTCTTCTTGCATTTGGTCATTAATTTTGCTTTTGACCATTTATATTAATATTTACATTTTTATTTTTGATATATTGTATTCCTAATTTTATTAATTCTAATGAACAATTGTTTAAATAATGTAAAATCTACTCTTTAAATACTATGTTATTACCCTACTAAAACTAACATTGACTAAATGATCATTTGTTTCTATTGTCATATCTCCATCTTTCTTCTTCACTACACTCATTTCTTGATCTTTCTTCTTGACTGATAACATACATGGAATACATCTAATATTAACACCGCCTTTTTTATCTACTATTAATTCATTTTGAAAGTTCATAATATGATTACATTTGTCACATTTTATTTCTTTACACACACCTAATGATTTAACACTTGCTGTTGTTTCTTTCCGAGCTTCAATATCTGGCATTGGTCTTTCATTATCTAATATTGAATTTGATTTACTCTTTTTCTTTCTTGGCATTTATATTAATATTTACATTTTTATTTTTGGTATATTGTATTCCTAATTTTATTAATTCTAATGTATAAAAGCATACTTTCTTACATCTGTTGTCAGTTCTTATCACTTGTTCTATATTCTCTACTTCATCTATTATATCAATATAATCTGAATAACTCCTTTCCATATTAAATAATACGATAAAATATTTTTTCATTTCTGTCTTTCTTTTCTTGTACAACTTGATAGAACTTGATAAGTTCTATCAAGTTCTAGAACTCTAGGAAAAAAGTTCTTTTTCCTAGAGTTGTACAGTTTTTTCATTGTATCGTCTTTATTCCATCTATATTCCACAAATTTATGATGATGTTTTGAATTTAGATGTTTAAATAAATATTTGTCATCATAAGTTTTACCACAACTGCAATGGATAATAGTCATATAAATAATAAGATGAAATAATTATTAAAAATAATTATTTGATCTTATTATT